AGGCCCTGCATGTGGAACTGAACACTAGTGGGGACAATGGTTCATCCAGCTTGGAAGTGCCGCTGAGGTTGAGACGGTCTCCACCACACATCAAAACTACTTCCACAAAGAAAATAAGATGGGTCATTGTCATAGGTGGCTCCCTTCTGAAGGGAACAGAAGGCCCCGTGTGCGGACCAGACCTATCTCTCAGGGAAGTCTGCTGGCTCCCTGGGGCCTGGGTTAAAGATACGGTGAGAAAACTTCCTACCTTGTATGACCCTCGATTATCCATTACTGATTTTTCAGGTAGGCAGCAACAAGGTCACAACAAAAAATCTGAGGGCAATCAAGACAGACTTCAGGGTCTTGAAGTCTGCAGACTGCAGGGGGAAACAGTGACCAAGGATGAGGAAAAGCCCGAGGTACTGAATGCTGCCTTTGTCTCAGCCTTCAGTTGTTCTCTGAGTGCCCAGCCCCCTAAGCTGGAAGGTAGGCACAGGGGGCAAAATGACACCCCATAAATGGTCAGTCATCTGCTACACCACTTAGCTACAGAGAAGTCTGTGGGGCCAGATGGGATCCAGCCAAGAGTACTGAGGGAGGGGGCAGAAGTGCCTGTCAAATCACTTTCAATCATTTATCAGCAGTCCTGGCTAACGAGGGAGGTCCCAGTGGACTGGAGGTTAGCAAGCGGGACACTCATCTACAGGAGTGGCTGGAAAGAGGATACAGGGAACTACTGAGCTGTCACTCTGACCTTGGTATCAGGGAAGGTTATGGAGCAGATCACCTTGAGTGCCATCACCTTGTGTGCAGGCGAAAATCACTTTCAATCATTTATCAGCAGTCCTGGCTAACGAGGGAGGTCCCAGTGGACTGGAGGTTAGCAAGCGGGACACTCATCTACAGGAGTGGCTGGAAAGAGGATACAGGGAACTACTGAGCTGTCACTCTGACCTTGGTATCAGGGAAGGTTATGGAGCAGATCACCTTGAGTGCCATCACCTTGTGTGCAGGCGATCAGGCCCAGTCAGCATGGCTTCATGAAAAGCAGGTCCTGCTTGACTAACCTCATCTCCTTCTGTGACAGGGTGACCTGCTTAGTGGACGAGGGAAAGGCTGTGGATGTTGTCTACCTGAACCTTAGTAAGGCCTTTGACACCATTTCCCACATTCTCCTGGAGAAACTGGCTGCTCCTGGCTTGGAGGGGGATATTCTTCACAGGATAACAAATCTGAATGGATGGCCAGGCCCAAAATAGTGGTGGTGAATTGAACTAAATCCACCTGGCAGCTGGTCACAAGTGGTGTTCCCCAGGACTCAGTATTGGGGCCTGTTCTCATCAATATCTTCATCAATAATCTGGACAAGAGGATCGATGACACCCTCAGTAAGCTTGCAGATGACATTCAGTTAGACAGAAGTGTCTCTCTGCTGGAGGGCAGGAAGTCTCTGCAGAGGGGTCTGCACAGGCTGGAGCAATGGGCTGAGGACAACTGGATGAGGTTCAACAAGGCCAAGTGCCGGGTCCTGCACTTGGGTCACAAGAACCCCAGGCAG